GTCATCCAAGCCAAGAAGAAAATTGTGGGTTTTCTCATGTTCGACCTCCGCTCGGATTAAGGCAGCGGCTGCGCACTGACAACCTAAGGTCGGATCTTTTATTCCATACAACTGATTCCACAAAGTGATAAATTGATTATAATAACTCACAACAGACTGTTTTTCTGTCATAAATTTTGCATCTCCGTTTTCAATTGGTGAACACGAGGCCCGTTCGATCCACCATAGCGGGACTTCAAGTCCAACCACAATTCATGGGCGATGGAATGGGACACAATACTCGGCTGAACACACTCATCAACGCTGTTCACAATCCATGCACAGATTATCGAATTATTTGCCTCCCAAGCGGCATACTCGAGGGGATCAGTGGGCTTTGGGAAACCAGCCGCGAGGAGAAAATTTGCTTTGCCACGGCCCTTCAACGCGTTGTAGATGGCTTTCTCCCACGTATCAAAATTGTCCCCGCGCAACAAATACTTGGTGAGGGAATTACCTGGCCCCTCCGACGGGTGAAGGTAGTACGGCGAGGAGGGATTGTGAATAGCAAGAGTTTTCTTCACAGGCGGAGTTTTAACACAACATGTATTTATACAACTCTGTAAAGGACTAGACTAAACACAACACAAAGCCCAAATACAAAACACGGCCCATACGACCCGCTAACAGCTCCGAACTGCGTAAACAATTCTTGTGTTTGATTTACTATTTTTATCTTCCTTGTTTGTGTGGTTGATCGTGACAAAGAAAGTGCTTCAACACTTTGTTTGTCTCATTGTGTTAAGGGTGTCATATAGTTGAGTCGAATTGTTCGAAGAGAGCTAATTATCTGTTGTTGTGAGTCTCTACAACAATTTCAGAACCTACCCCTAAATCCCACAGCCCACCCCCTTGCTCCAATTAAACTGGTGTCACCGTTTGACACCAAATTGAGTGGTTTCAAAATTGACTTGTTGATTTCCAATCGTAAAGGGCTTCTCCAAAACAAAATGAAAATTTCTTTATCAGAAACACACGCAGAATTAAATACTCCCTCCGTCCATAAATAAAGTTCTCGTTGTGCGTTACGATGTTTAACTAAAGTTATTTTTCATATCATTTTATATGAAAAATTGTATAGAGTTTAAAAATAATAAATCACATTTTTAAAAACTAAATGAAATGATCTACAAAACTAGAAGTTGGAAGTGACAGGACTATATTATTTCATCAAATAGGACACGAAAATAAGCCATGATGACACGAAAATAGGCCAACAAAGTTGATATGCACATATTTTATACACTTTTTAGACATATCTTGTAGAAGTTTTGAGTCCCAATTGAATTAATGTTTACATTTTATGTCAATTTTCTGTTTTATTTTGGTAGAGCGGTCCTATGCTTGGTTTTATATGTTTTGCAGGTATTTTTGAGGTCATTTGGACGCATTGAGAACAATTTCTAGAACGGAAGATAAACATGGAAGTTTGGGACCAAAATAAATGGAAGAGATTTGAAGAAAAGAAAGAAATAAATCTAAAAAATGAAAAGATTGGAGCTGGGATTCGAACACTGGACTTCAGGGTATGGATGAGAAGCTTGGAGCATCGCGCCACAGCTGATTATTGGGCATGTCATTGGCGGACACGGAATATGTTCTTAGTTTAAATTCGGCCATGAATTGAGAGAAAAATGACAAAACACCGACACTGGATTGGGAATCATACACGGGATCAAGTGGCGAGACAAACAGCCTCAATTCCATGTGGGCTACTGTAGCTTTGTTGACATTTTTGGGACTGTTCGTATATACTCCGTATATATGAATTTATCTATAAAATCCCCTTCTCTTCTTCTAGGAGGTTGGAACCCCCATTTTCTCCCCTCTCTCCATTTCGAAATTCTCTTCTTCCCTCACTAATATCTCACCACTTTCTTCATCCAAACACATAAAAATTACTCCATCATCATCATCATCTACTCCATCCGTCCATAAATAATGTTCAGAGTTTGACTTGGCACGGAGTTTAAGAAAATGTAAAAAAACCCTTGACTTTCCAACTTTCCCCTTTGGTTAATTAAAATTAAAGGTAAAGGTGAATAAAGTTAAATAGTAGTGATTGGATAGATAAAGTAATTAAAATGATTAAAATATTGTTAAAGTACAAGTACAAGTACAAGTACAAAAGTTGGGGAAGTGGTGTGGTTGGAGTAAATTAAAGTGGGTGGTGGGTGAGGGGTATTAAAGGCATTTCACTTATAATTCCTTGCCTAATTTAGAAACATGAACTTTATTTGTGGACGGACGAAAAAGGAAAGTACGAACATTAAAAATGGACGGAGGGAGTATTATATTTGGAGCTCAAGAACACACCTTCCATTTTGTAAGATTTTTATGTTTGTAATGAATATTTATTTGTTTAAGCTTCAAACTATGAACTTCTAAATCCCATTGGGGTTAGAAGTTGGTGTAATTAATTTGTCCATCTTAATGTTTTAAATATTTTTAACATGGATTGTTGATTTTATTTTTACTTAGATGTTGTATTTAAAAATAAAAAAATTTGGAATGTTTGTGATTATTAAGGGCCCAATCATAAACATAATTGTTACAAGGAATATGAGTTAAAATTGATATAGTCATAAAATAGAACACTTTTTAATTACAGCGTAAGCCTTCTCTACCTTTAACCGGGATTGAAGACTTTCGGGTGGACATAATTATTGAGTTGTATTTTTACACCATTAAATTGGGTAAACATACAATAAAATAATTATGGTTGCATTGTTACTAAATAATCACTCCGGATTTATCATTAACGTGTTAAAGTCGGAGTAATTATTATTTAGGTGAACTGCGAGAGCGTCCCTAAATACTTTTCTGCAAACCCACACATTCTATATAAAAATAAATTAACAATCCAACTTTTATAAAAACATTGGACAATTAATTTACCAATTTCTACTCCTAACTTTTCATCATCAAAAACTTTGTGTTGTTTGGAACTCTCTTCTTTTACACTTTTTATTTTATCTTTAAAACCAAAAAGACCAAAATATTTTACAACTTCTTTTGTAAACTTTTGTTTAAATTAAATTAACTCACGTCTCCCTGAGGTTCGACACCCTACTTACAAGGGATTCTTTTTAGTTGTTATTTTTGCCCGTTCTATACTGCAAATCAAAAGTGAATAAAGTTTGACATTGTAAATAATGAACAGGAACTTTATTGTTATTGTTGGACGGAGGGAGCAAGAAGTAACGATAAGACTCAATGACATTATCATGATTCAGAGCAGTAATGAACACATATTTTTGAGAATCAAAGAGCACGACATACCTTGGGGTCATTTCCCTGCATGTGTAGGATTGTTGAATTGCATTCCATTATATGTAATTTTAAAAGACACTTTCCCAAATAATGCAAACCGGAGTAGCTTACTCCGTTTGCCATAAATTATTTACTCAAAACGGAGTAGCCAACTCCGTTTCCAATGATTAATTAGGAAAACGGAGTAGCCAACTCTGTTCATTTATTTTTAAAAAAAAATTAATTTTGTTCCTTAGCTGCAACTCCGTTCATTTATAGCCAACTGCTATAATTTCTTAAAAAATCAATTTTGTTCCTTTCATTCACGTATTATTTTTTATAAATCAATTTTTTTTATTTCTTAACTTTGTTCCTATATTTTTTTTAAAAAATCAATTTTTTTCTTTATTTCTTATAATTGAAAAACAAAAAAATTATAAAAAGCAGCAAATTATTTACATATAATGAAAAAACAATCTACTTAAAAATAAAATGCATAAAGGAAATTATTATTTATTGACTTTAAATAATGCACCATACACAAAAATTAAAATAAGAAGTAAATCACAATAAATTTATTCATAAAGTACATAAGATTTATTCATAAAAATAAGTTTACAAAATACATGCTATAACTAATTTATTTTGTGAAATCATAAAACATAAATTTAGACATAATTGAAATCCTTGATATAGCTATTACTCGGAAAGGTGGATGTGACTATTATTGTAGGGTAGGTCGGGGTGAGTATTACGGAGTATTTTATTTAGGTGGGTGTGTGTACATAAACAAATATTTGAACAAACGGTTTGAAACATCAAAACATTAAGTACCCAGCACAATATATTAAACATAAGAAAACTACTAAAAATAATGGCTACCAGCCACATCGTGTTCCACATCGAATCCGTCGTGGACGAAGACCCTGCTCTCCCTCACCCTCCACATCATACATTGTCTGATGGATTACTGGCGGTGTAGTAGTGGAGACAATTTATTGAACAAATAAATCTCCTATTTTAAATTTTTTATGTAATTTTAAATATTTCATAGATACTTTTATCAGCTTAATACTACAATTCAAATTAATGAAATTGGTTATAACTTTAGTCATTTATCATAAATAACTTAGTTTTAGATGGAGCAAATAGTTTTTATTTTATATGTGTGAAACATTCGACACGAATGAAAGATAAACTTTTTTTGTGTTTTTTTATACATGTACTTTTTTATTTGCAAATTGGAAAAAATATTTAAATTTCAAATAATTCTTGTAAGAACCTACTTTTTCTTGTGCCCGGATCCGGACCTAAAATATTTTAGAAACAGGCATGTTAATATATTTAATTTTAATTACACATATTAACACGGGTGTTTAGAGAGAAAAACCATATTATTAAAGTATTTGGAAAGCTAGCATTTAAATAAAAAAAGTACTTGGAAAGCATCTCCATTTGTCGTACTATTTTTAATGGGGAGACTTTGTTTAAATGTGGGGGGAGCTTTGAATGCGAAGTCTTGGATTTTTAAATAGGAACAGAGTAGAAATTAAATGGAGCGAAACGGAGTAGCCTACTCCGTTTTGATTATTATTTCGACAGTAAACGGAGTAAGCAACTCCGTGTTGCACTGCAGGGAAATAAATCACTGACATGCACTGCCAGGAATGCATATTTTTTTTTACATATATGGGGAGTTTCTTCCATACCTTGAGCATCAGGCGAAACAGAAGAGCAAAAGAAGGCCACAATCAGTGCAGCACACAACAGCCCCGGTGCCATTTCTGATTAAGCTCCACTCTTCGTTCTCAAACACTAATCTCAGAGCTCCTCCTTTTGTTCTTCCAATGGAGTCCTTTGAGAGGGGAATCGATTCCAAAAAAGGAGCTTTTATATTAAGAAGTACTTTTACAGAGGAAGGAGAAGACATTCTATCCAGCGGTGGGACGATTTCCTGAGACATTTTCCCGGAGGACCCGAGGAAACAAAGTCTTCACCCGTAGAAAAACTGAAAAAGGGATGTAGTCTTTAGACCGATGATGCCGTCCTTTGTTGCTTGTCTTCCCAATAAATCTTTAATTAATACAAATGGTCTCCATTTCTCGTGAGTGGTTTGACTCATGTTTTATCTAGGTTGTGAATTTGATTACCTAAATTGCACCTATGGTCCTCGAGTTGTTAACTATTTTTAATTTTGATTCCTTAAAGTTATTTTAATGGCAAAAATAATTAGATTTTAGAAAAGTTTTTCTAAAAATATCAAAAGTGTTAAATATGACAGATATATTTCTCATTCTATTTAGAATATTTTGTTTCCTTATTAAGCTAGACTATACCTCTTCCCGTGTATGTATAAATACCCCCGTATATGATGAATAAAGTATTGAGTTTTCACAACACATTATCAGCACGAGACACTCAAACCCTATTTTTTTAGCCTCTCCTGTTTTTTTTCCGTTCTCCGTGGTGCATCGCAGAAAAAAACTCATCGCCGTCCTCCGCTGCTTTTTTTCCGTTCCCCACAGATCAGGTATCTCAAATTATCAGATTTAATCTTTAAGAAATCACCCTACGTAGCACTCTAACTCATATAATACTACGCATTTAGCACTGCTTATTGTTTATTTACCAAATTAGCTATTTATGTTGTCAATCTCTTCCAATCATACCCTTTATGTTATCAATCCCTTTTATCCATCCCACTATCAATTATTTCAATTTCCCTTTCAACTCCTATATCAAATTCGGTCTCACATAATGTATACTTTGTGCATAGTGGCATAATACTCTTTTTTATCAAAAATTTTCGTCAATCAATTAAATGTAGTTTTGAATAAATATATATAATAAAAATATGATATATCAAAATTATATCATAAAAATATGCCAATTATAAATACTTCTTTTATCCCAAAATAGGGCTCTTATTCGATTTACGATGTTTGATTGAAATTATTTTCAAATCAATATTAGTAAAAATTATTGTATAATTAAAAAATAGGAATTATATATTAAAAAAACTACATAAAATTTTTTATAAACAAGTGGTGACAATGTGACTTACATATAAAACTACCAATTTATAAATTATTATTTGATTTTCATATTGTGCAAATAGCTTGTGGTTGATTTTATGACAATAGAGTTTTACCATGAAAGAGATTGTTATGAAATGTGTTACTCAATATGGTGACTATAAATATATGGGCAGTACAGATTGATCATGTTATGCAAACACTTTTTGGCAGTGAATATGTCTTCTATATATAATGTGGCAGACAAGAGTGAAAGTATG